GAAGGTTAGGTTAGGTTTTTCGAGGTTAGTTTCTATTTTTGTTTAAGAAATTACATCTGTTAAATGTTCTATTTTTTTTGGAAATGAAGACTGGTAGTAGTTCCTGTTATTTTAAAGTGAAGGTTAGGTTAGGTTTTTTGAGGTTAGTTTCTATTTTTGTTTAAGAAGTAATATCTGTTAAATGTTCTATTTTTTTTTTAAGTGAAGACTGGTAATAGTTCCTATTATTTTAAAGTGAAGGTTAGGTTAGGTTTTTTGAGGTTAGTTTCTATTTTTATTTAAGAAGTGATATCCGTTAAATGTTCTATTTTTTTTTTAAGTGAAGACTGGTAATAGTTCCTATTATTTTAAAGTGGAGGTTAGGTTAGGTTTTTTGAGGTTAATTTCTATTTTTGTTTAAGAAGTAATATCTGTTAAATGTTCTATTTTTTTTTTAAGTGAAGACTGGTAATGATTCCTATTATTTTAAAGTGGAGGTTAGGTTAGGTTTTTCGAGGTTAGTTTCTATTTTCGTTTAAGAAGTAGTATCTGTTAAATCTTCTATTCTTTTTTTTAAGTGAAGACTGGTAATAGTTCCTATTATTTTAAAGTGGAGGTTAGGTTAGGTTTTTTGAGGTTAGTTTCTATTTTTGTTTAAGAAGTAATATCTGTTAAATGTTCTATTTTTTTTTTAAGTGAAGACTGGTAATGATTCCTATTATTTTAAAGTGGTGGTTAGGTTAGGTTTTTTCAGGTTAGTTTCTATTTTTGTTTAAGAAATGACATCTGTTAAATGTTCTATTTTTTTTTTAAGTGAAGACTGGTAATAGTTCCTATTATTTTAAAGTGGAGGTTAGGTTAGTTTTTTTGACGTTAGTTTCTATATTTTTTCAAACATGAAATTTGTTAAATGCTTCATTTTTTTTTTTTTAAATGAAAACCCTTAATAATTCCTATTATTTTAAAGTGAAGGTTAGGTTAGGCTTTCTAAGTGAAGACAGTTAGTAATTCCTATTATTTTAATGTGAAGGTTAGGCTAGGTTTTTTAAGTGGAGACATTTAGTAATTCCTATTATTTTAAAGTCAAGGTTAGGTTAGGTTTTTTAGCTGAATGCTGTTAGAAATTTATATTCATTTTCTTCTTAAATGAAAACTACTACTTATTTTTCTTTTAACTGAATGTTTCTATTTTTTTTCTTTAATGAAAGACTATTAAAAGTTTGTATTTTTTATTTCTATTTTTAAACTAAACACTGTAAGTTTCCATTCTTGTTCTTCATTAAAGATTTTCAATATTTCTTATTCTTTTTTTTTAGTGCAAAAATTGATAAAACTTTAAATTTTCTTAAAAAAGTAGAAACAATTGAAAAGATTCAATTTTCTTAAAGAAAGATGAAGAAAGTTAAAAGTGTGTCTATATCTTGTTATATACAAAAAAGCGTGGAATATAGAATGTTTTCATAGAAAGTTATCACGAAGAAAGAATTATGCAATCAGAAGAACGGTGTGGATGGAGCACAAAATCCAATAAAACCCACGAAATAGTGGATCAAATAAAGGTTCCGAGCAATTGAAGCGAGTTTGCAATGACAAAGGAAGGAAAAGCTCCACTTTCGCTCGTAATTTCCATATATCAATAAAGAAAATATCGCGGGTTACGATCGATGGGCCCCGTTCGGGTGGAAAAGCTTTGAACGTTTAACTCTTTGCACGGGAATATTTGAATTTTTACCGTTTGTAACTTTTCCAAGAAGAATACACTGGAAAATACTTGAACGGTTGGTTGGTAAGGCTGTATGCAAACTAAATCCTCGAATATTTTTTTGTTGGAAAAAATCGAGTTGAACGTTTTCTTTTTTTTAATTTATTTTAGGTAGATTTCTGATTCTTCGATTGTCAAGTTTGTAGATTTGGATGTTTCTGTTTTTGGGATATTTGGGGATTTATGGATTTTTGGTTTTTATAGTTATATGTTTGCAAAATTTTCAAATTTTGATTTTTGTAAATTTTTTCATTTCAAAATTTGCAAATTTGCAAGTTTCTACATTTCCAAATTTTTCAATTTTGGCATTTGAAAGTTTTTACATTTTGACTTTTGCGAATTTCTTAATTTCAAAATTTCCAAATTTGCAAGTTTTCACATTTCTAAATTTTTCAATTTTGGCATTTGGAAGTTTTCAATTTTTGACTTTTGCAAATTTCTTAATTTCAAAATTTGCAAATTTGCAAGTTTCCATATTTCTAAATTTTTCAAATTTCGACATTTTAAATTTTTTAAGTTTGACCTTTGCAAATTTTCAAATTTTGACATTTCAAAATTTTTCAGTATCCACATTTTCAAATTTCCAAATTTCGACATCTCTAAATGTTTCAACTTTACCATTTGCAAATTTTCAAATTTTACAATATCGATATTTCTAAATTTTTCGATTCCCACATTTGACATTTGTAAATTTTTAATATTTATTTTAGATTTAATATTTTCTATTTACGTATGTTGTGTATTTATAGATCTTAGCTTTGTGCAGTTACAAATTCGCAAATTTTTCAATTTTAACATTTATAGATTTAGATTTAAAAACATAGAAATATAAAAATTTAGTGATTCGTGACAAATTTGCAAGCTTAAAAAATTCTTCAATTTAATAATTAATAAATCTGCGAATCTAAAAATTTTTCATTTAATAATTTATAAATGTACAAGTTTAAATTTCTTACATTTATAAATATACAAAATGTACGTTTCAAAAAGTATTGATTTTTTGAATTTTTAAATAAACAACAGTTTACAAGTTTTGTCTTTAAATAAACAAAACTTTGAAGTGATCAAGAAAATAAATAAAAATGTAAAGTAATAATGTACACATGTAATATGTACGTAAGAGCCAGTGGTATCGGGTCAAATACGCCCTAATATTCGGCATTGTTCAATTCGCTGTCCACGGGTTAAGTAAACCTGCTCCTGTCGTTTCACGTTCGACCTGAGTTTGTTAATCAAGAGCTGGCTGTTTCGAAATAGCCCATAATTGTGTCTGTAATAGTATTCAGTAGTACAATGTGGCAACTTTGTCGATCGAGGATTCGCATTAAGCGTAGAATGCAGGTAATATTACCGTAATTAGTTTGAGTGCTCCTAGAATTCGAAAGGGAACAATCACGGTAACAATGAAATTCACAATTAGACCTGTTACTTCCTTTCGATGCTTTAACATCATGTATTATTGTTAACAATTATTTTTTCAATTATACTACACGAGAAGATTATTCTTGGAAGGAAAAATTAAATTAAAATGAAAATTGATGGGTTTATTGATAATTTGTGTTTTGAGAAGTTTGAAGGAATGTTATTGTAAGAAGTGGTTGTGAGGGTGAAAGGGAATTTTTATTGCTTTGTTTTGTGTGAGAAGTTAGGGGTTTTTGGATGTAGGGTTGTTTGGTTTTAGAGATTTAGGGATGGAGGAATTTAGGGTAAAAGAATTTAGGAATACGGGGATTTAGGGATGGAGGAACTTAGGGTAGAGGAATTTAGGATACAGGAATTTAGGGTACAAGGATTTAGGGATACTGGAATTTAGGTTAGAGGAATTTAGGAATAATGGGATTTAGGGATACAGGAATTTAGGGTATAGGAATTTAGGGGTACAGGAATGTAGGGTGTAGGAAATTAAGAATACAGGGATTTAGGCTACAAGAATTTAGAGATACAAGAATTTAGGAACTTAGGAAATTAAGAATAGAGCGATTTAGGGATACAGGGATTTAGAGATACAGGGATTTAGGAATACTGGGACTTGGGGATATAGTAATTTAGGATAGAGGAATTTAGGAATATTGGGATTTAGGGATACAGTAATTTAGGGTAGAGGAAATTAAGAATACAGGGATTCAGGCTACAAGAATTTAGAGATACAAGAGTTTAGGAATATAGGAAATTAAGAATACAGGGATTTAGGGATACTGAGATTTAGAGATACAGGGATTTAGGAATACTGGGATTTAGGGATAAAGTAATTTAGGGTAGAGGAAATTAGGAATACTGGGATTTAGTGATAAAGTAATTTAGGCTAGAGGAAATTAGGGATACAGGAATTTAAAGTAAAGGAATTTAGGAATACAAGGATTTAGGAATTCAGGAATTTAGATTACAAGAATTTATAGATACAAGAATTTAGGAATATAGGAAATTAAACATACAGGGATTTATAGATACAAGGATTTAGGAATACAGGAATTTATTGATACAGGGATTTACAGATACAGGGATTTAGGAATACAGGAATTTAACAGTACAAGAATTTAGGAATCCAGAATCTACGAATTTATATATTCAGTAATCTAGTGATTTTCAGATCTACAAAATTAAAAATATGTAAAATTGTCAATTTAGAAATTTCCAAAAATTGATAATTCAAGTATTTGTTACTTCTGAAAATTTTCCAATCGTAAAAACTTAATTTCCCCACAAAATCTAGTTATACATATAAAATCTAGTTTGATACCAAATTTAAACTTCTCAAACAAATTTCTATCACATCAGAATAATTTAACTAGTTTCATTCATTTTAAATGATTATTATAATTCACGCTATGACCACAGAGTGCAGCAGTGCACAGCTCTCCTTACGCGTCGATAACTATCCCTTTCAAACATTCCCAAACAACCCCCATAAGTTACAATCAACCCCACATCAACAATACAAACCTACACAACACCAAACTTTTCCACAAATCATCAAATTTCAGTATCAAAAACAAAACATGAGCAATAAAAATTCCAACACACCCACAACAAGCCCCTCCAAAACCGACAATCCTCGTATCTCTACTACGTCAAAATAATCAATAAACATGAAGAAAATCAATTGTCGAAAACTCCATTAAAATTCTGGTGCAGAATCCCCCGATAAAGTAGATCGACAGATTGCCTAGAAACCACTGCGCATCTGTGAAGAGCATAGTTCGTGAACAACCCTGCCCAGTCAACCCCTAAAATCCGTGTTCCTCGTGTCGCGCCCCAATCACGCAGTTCTAACAGTATAAAACATTCGTTTTTCCATAAAAAAGAAAAACAGTAATAAATAGAAGTAAACTAGGTGGTTGCAGAAGGGTGAGTGAAAGGGTTTATTAATAAATAATCATGGAAGAGGGTGTGTATCGATGGATCGGACGGCAAGAAAGGAAATGCATTTACTGGCGAGCGTCTGCGTGCTCATATTGATCTGTGGCGGTGGCTGTGGAGTGTCTACGGGTGGGACACCTGAAGAAACCTGTCAAAAATGCATCTTTCGTTGCGACTCACGCGTTTCCTGCTGATATCCGCGGTATTTTGCATCGGTAAGGTGTTTTCGGAACGTTAACACGATCTGTGAACGGTCTACATGGGATTCCATGGGGTTTTTCTAGGTCTCTGCTCTGAGGATGAGGAGAGGTTGGTGCGAGATCTGTTCAGAGGGTACAATAAACTCATCAGACCCGTGCAGAACATGACCGAAAAGGTCCACGTGAATTTTGGACTCGCTTTTGTTCAGCTGATCAACGTGGTGAGATTTTCAGCTATTTTGGGTGGGGAGACTTGGGAGTTGTAGCTTTCTGTTGATTTTCGTTTGTGAAGTCTTGTTAGGATGGAGTTGGAGCAAATTCTGATGAGGTTTTGTGTTGGCTTGTTAGGGGAGTTTGTGTGCATATGAACGTTGCAGTTGGACATTTGTCTTTGTGCTCTGCCACTTTTGGTACTTTATTTTGGGTGGTTGGAGTTGTATTCATTTTGTTGTAAGTTAAATATCTGGTTTGTGTATCTGTGAGCTTAATACTTTTTACAATTAGTATCAAGTTAAGAGATAAATAGATCGTTGAAAATAGTTTAATCATCTACAAAATTATTTTGAACATATGTAGAATTTTGTTGAATATGTAAAAGTTTGAACTTTTATATATATATTTGGATATATGCGCGCTTCAAGAATAAAATAATGATTTTTAACCTTATATATTTTTATCAAAAATTAATTGTGAAAAATCAAACCAGCTATAACAATAAATTTGTAGTTAATTAATTCACATGCATGTTCTACAAAAAATATATATTCCTCATATTTTATAATGAATGAATATAATTTATGTTTGAAAGTAAATAAATGAATGTACAGTTTCTTTCAAAAGAAATGAACTCATCTTTTATAAGAAATAAATAGACTATTTTTTTTTTAAATAGTATGTTATATTTTTTAGAAAAGATGAATATACAGTGCATTTGTAGAACAAAAAAAAATATGTAATATACATTCTTGTATCTATGAGTTTTGTTATAGGTGTTATTTAATTGTGAATTGTAAATAATACGAGATATGTTTCAGAATGAGAAAAATCAGATTATGAAGTCGAATGTGTGGTTGAGATTCATCTGGACGGATTATCAGTTACAATGGGATGAAGCAGATTATGGTGGAATTGGAGTTTTGAGGCTACCACCGGATAAAGTGTGGAAACCAGATATAGTATTGTTTAACAAGTACGTATGGAGATTCATTATATTTGTTATTATTCATTTAATAGATTAACAAATCGATAATTTGGTTAGTTAAGTTGCAAAGTTGGATGATTGAATTGGTAGATTAAGTGATAAATTGACAAACTGAGAAATTAACAAATTGAAAAATTAAATATTATGAAATTAATAAATTTGTGGAGTGATAAATTGGTAAGGTGACAAGGTAACAAACTATCAAATTAACAAATTGATAAATTCATAAAAAGTTAAGTGGGTAAATGGACAAGTGGAATAATTGACCAATTGATCAATGGATAAATCAAGAAATTTACAAGTTGATCAATTGACCATTTGACTAATGGGCAAATCAAGAAATTCATAAGTTCACCATTTGGTAAATTGTCAAATTGGCAAACTGATAAATTGACAAATTGACAAATTGACAAATTGACAAATTGACAAGTAGGCAAATTAACAAATTGACAAGTGGACAAATTGACGAATTAACCAATAGTCTAAGCAACAACTTCACAAGTTGACTAACTAACCACTTGACCTATTGGCAATCAACAAATCCACAATTTGATCATTTCGCAAATTGTTAGATTTACAAATTGACAAATTACCAAATTGCCAAATTGACAAATTGACAAATTGACAAATTGACAAATTGACAAGTGGAAAAATTACCCATTAACCAATAGTCTAAGCAACAACTCTACAAGTTGACTAACTGAGCACTTGACCCCTGGCCAACCCAACAAATCCACAAGTTGATCACTTGACCAACTAACAAATTAAAAAATTGACAAATAGATAAATGAACAAGTGTCCAAATTTACCAATTAACCAATATTCTAAGCAACAACTCCACAAGTTGACTAATTGACCACTTGACCCGTGGCCAACTCACCAAATCCACAAGTTGGTCACTTCACCACCTAACAATCAGATAAATAAAAAAATTAAGAAAGCACAAAATTGAAGCACCAAAAACTCCAAAAATCAAAAGATTGACCTAATACACCACTCAAACAAAATCCCCCAAATATAATGTCCCAATAATCCAGAAATCATTAGACATAACCTAAGAATCTAAGCTAACAACCTAAGACACAACCTAACCACCAAACACACTCTCTAATTTCAGCGCCGACGGTAATTACGAGGTGCGTTACAAAAGCAACGTTCTAATCTACCCAAACGGCGACGTGCTATGGGTGCCTCCCGCGATCTACCAGAGTTCCTGCACAATCGACGTCACCTACTTCCCGTTCGACCAACAGACCTGCATCATGAAGTTCGGTTCGTGGACCTTCAACGGGGACCAAGTATCTCTGGCTCTGTACAACAACAAAAACTTCGTGGACCTGTCCGACTACTGGAAGAGCGGCACCTGGGACATCATCAACGTGCCAGCCTACTTGAACACGTACCACGGTGACTTCCCGACAGAAACGGACATAACCTTCTACATCATCATCCGCCGGAAGACCCTCTTCTACACCGTCAACTTAATTCTCCCAACGGTCCTCATCTCCTTCCTCTGCGTTCTCGTTTTCTACCTCCCTGCGGAGGCAGGCGAAAAAGTGACCCTCGGCATCAGCATCCTGCTGTCACTCGTCGTGTTTCTGTTACTGGTCAGCAAGATTTTACCACCCACATCCCTGGTACTTCCGCTGATCGCCAAATACCTGCTGTTCACCTTCATCATGAACACCGTCAGTATATTGGTCACCGTCATCATCATCAACTGGAACTTCCGTGGACCCAGGACCCACAGGATGCCGCAGTTGATCAGGAAGATCTTCCTGAAGTACCTGCCGACGGTGCTGTTCATGAGGAGACCCAAGAAGACCCGCCTTAGGTGGATGATGGAGATCCCGAATGTGACCTTGCCCACGTCCACCTACTCGGGCAGCCCTACCGAGTTGCCCAAGCACCTGCCAGCATCGCTGACGAAGTCCAAGATGGAGGTCATGGAGCTGTCGGATCTTCATCATCCGAATTGCAAGATTAACAGGAAGGGGCATCACACTACTAGCGGGTCGAGCGCGGCTGGGGGAGAGGGGCTGGCTGATAGGAGAGGATCGGAGAGCTCGGATTCGGTGCTGCTCAGTCCGGAGGCTAGCAAGGCGACGGAGGCTGTGGAGTTCATTGCGGAGCATTTGAGGAACGAGGATTTGTATATACAGGTGAGGGATTTACGGTTGTATGTTAATGTCTTGGATTCTAAGATGTGGGTTGTAAACATCTTAGGTGGTTAAACAGTAACTGAACAATCTTAGATTGAGCGGTTGATTGATTTTGTTGGATTGCTGTGGTCATTGTTGTGGGTCTCATTGGTTAGGTTTAGGTCCATCGTTGATTAATCTAAGAGTAATCAAAGGTTGTTGTTATACTCATTCTAACGTGGAAAATAAATAGTAAACCTTAATGGTTCTTTCTGATTAAAAGTATACAAATCATTTTGGATATGGTGTGTATTGTTATAATTGATCTTAAGTGTGGTTACATGATTCCTTTGAGGTTGATCAGTTATTGTGAATGATGTTATAGATATCATTCTTCCTAATTCAAAATGTGTACACAAATGACAACTTTGGATATGATGGGTATTGTTATGATTCCCCAAATTCCCATTTTCTCAAATTTTTAATTCTCTAACTTCTTATTTAACCAAATTCCCAAGTTCCCAAATCCCTAGATTCTCAATTCCTCAATTCCCCAATTTCCACATTCCCCAATTACCACATTCCCCAATTCCCACGTTTCCCAATTCCCACGTTCCCCAATACCCACGTTCCCTAAGTCCCACGTTCCCAAATTCCCACGTTCCCCAATTCCCACATTTCCCAATTCCTACATTTCCCAATTCCCACATTACCTAATTCCCACATTGTCTAATTCCCACATTGTCCAATTCCCACATTTTCCAATTCCTACATTTCCCAATTCCCACATTGTCCAATTCCCACATTGTCCAATACCCACATTGTCCAATTCCCATATTGTCCAATTCCCACATTTCCTAGTTCCTACATTCCCCAATTCCCACATTGTCAAATTCCCACATTCCCTAATTCCCATGTTGCCCAATTCCCACATTAGCCAATTCCCACATTGTCCAGTTCCCACATTTTCCAATTCCTACATTTCCCAATTCCCACATTGTCCAATTCCCACATTGTCCAATACCCACATTGTCCAATTCCCATATTGTCCAATTCCCACATTTCCTAGTTCCTACATTCCCCAATTCCCACATTGTCAAATTCCCACATTGTCCAATTCCCACATTGTCCAATTTCCATATTTCCCAATTCTCCAAATTCCCAAATTTCCCAAAACCTTAAATTCTAAAAACCCCAATTCTTCAGTTGCTCAATTTCCCAAATCCCAAAATTCCCAAATCCCCAAAGTCTCAACATCCAAACATTCTAAATTCCCAAAACCACCCGAAAAGCATCCAACAAAATCGTCCCACAAAAATTCCCACCCCCACTCTCATCAAATCACCTCAAACCGATATCATCATATGATGCGTATTGTCATAAATGACCTTAGCTGTGATTAAATGATCCCTTTGACCTTGATCAGTCATTATGAATGATATTATAGACATTCTTCCTAATTCAAAATATGTATACAAATGACCATTTTAGCTATGATGTGCATTGTTATAATTGACCTCAGCTGTGGTTAAATGATTCCTTTAACCTTGATCAGTTATTGTGAACAATGTTACAGACATTCTTCCTAATTCAAAATATGTACACGAATGACCACTTTGGCTACGATGTGCATTGTTATAATTGACCTTAGCTGTGGTTAAATGACCTCTTTGACCTTGATCAGTTATCTCTTTGACCAGTTATTGTGAACAATGTTATAGACACGAGAGGATTGGAAATACGTGGCAATGGTGATCGATCGTCTGCAGCTCTACATCTTCTTCATCGTGACAACAGCGGGTACCGTCGGCATCCTGATGGACGCTCCCCACATCTTCGAGTACGTGGACCAGGATCGCATCATAGAGATCTATCGTGGCAAATAATCGCCCGGCACTTTAGCGAATTTACGCCGTGGCGTCGCAATAATTTACGTTCAACTTCCGTATCGTCCAACTTGATTAATTTTTATAAACAAAACGTTCATTCGTAATTAAGGATCGTTTGTGGACAATCGTTTGTTCGAGATGTATAAAAAGTTCCGAATAAGATTATAGGATTATAAGTAACTTACGTTGGATTATACTTTCATGTTTTCATTTTTATAATGAAAAACGCTCAGAGTTTCGTCGATATTTTATAAGAACTCCGTCGAGGAAGCGGTGTGAAATCGCGTTCGCGAATTTGCCATGGAACAAGATTCAGATCGATCAAATTAGCGTTTGATTTATAATATTCAGTCGATTTCTATTGTTTACGTGGTTCATTTTTGGTAACATAATTGTCGACGAAATGTTCGAGATGATTTATTGTACTTATCGTTAGAATTAATGATTGATTGTCTTCCTTGGAAATCTTCGTCGCTATGCTGAAGTGAGCGCGGATTACGTTGGAAACTAATTAACTAATTGACATTGATCGTTCTTGGATCGAGCGATCACTCGATCGGGAATAAACATAGAGCGTTAGACATCAAAGGATTTTGATATCGATAACGTTGCCGTTCTATTATAACCTGACGGGACTCGTGTTTGATAAAAAATCGCGATGCAACATCGAAGGGTCGTGATAGGAATTTTTCTACCCCATCTTGATCATTTGTCTTTGATCGATTGTGGAAATACCGGAGCGATTTTATTGATTATAATATTCGAAATTTACTTAGGTATTTTTCAATTTTTCAATTCTTCAATTCTTTAATTTTTCAATTTTTCCACTTTTCAATTTTTCGTTTTTGGGTTTTTCAATTTTTCAATTTTTCAATTCTTTAATTTTTCAATTTTTCAACTTTTCAATTTTTCAATTTTTCCATTTTTCCATTTTTCCATTTTTCCATTTTTCCATTTTTCAATTTTTCAATTTTTCAATTTTTCAATTTTTCAATTTTTCAATTTTTCAATTTTTCAATTTTTCAATTTTTCAATTTTTCAATTTTTCAATTTTTCAATTTTTCAATTTTTCAATTTTTCAATTTTTCAATTTTTCAATTTTTCAATTTTTCAATTTTTCAATTTTTCAATTTTTCAATTTTTCAATTTTTCAATTTTTCAATTTTTCAATTTTTCAATTTTTCAATTTTTCAATTTTTCAATTTTTCAATTTTTCAATTTTTCAATTTTTCAATTTTTCAATTTTTCAATTTTTCAATTTTTCAATTTTTCAATTTTTCAATTTTTCAATTTTTCAATTTTTCAATTTTTCAATTTTTCAATTTTTCAATTTTTCAATTTTTCAATTTTTCAATTTTTCAATTTTTTAATTCTTCAAATTTTTAACTTTTGAATTTTTCAGTTTCCCTTTTCTCAAAATTAGCAGACTAAAGCATTTGGAAATTTGATAGCTCTACTTTTCTAAATTTCCAATTCTCCTGGAAATTTAGAAACTTGGAGAAATTGAAATATTGGAAAATTGGAAACTTGAAAAATTTGTATCTTGAATAATTGAAAAATGAGAAAATTGGAAAATGGAAAAATTGAAAGAGGGAAAATTGAAAAATTAGAAAATTTAATATTTCTAAGTTTCCACATCCATAAAACCGAGATTCCTAACTTCTCATACTCTCAAACCTTGAAACTTTCTAATTTCTTAATTTCCAAATTAAATTAAAAAATTTAAAAATTTCCATGAATAAATCATTACTGCACAATTTAAATTCTCCACAATCCTTAGTTTAGCCAAAATAATTTTCCCAAAAAGCAGCTCCAGTATTTCCAAAATGTCTCGATTCCTCCAGTTCAGCCGAAATTTCAACGAAAATCGTAAAACCCGCTAACGACACTGCAGAAGCGCACATTAGAAGCACAATGTCACGGCCCTGCGTACTTAATCGTTATACATTATATAGGAAAAAGGAAATAAGGAACTGTGTATCGTGCGTCCTATACACACAAACACGCTCACACACGGAAGAACACACATTCATATATACACGTTCATACACACACACATATACATAAGACTATAAATATGATATCCACGCAACATGTACCGATGTCAACCTACAAGTTGGCGCGCGAGAGGCTGACGCGAAGAGCCGGTTGGCGCGGAGAGGAGTGTTAAAGAGCCAAGGCTCCGATTGGTTAGAACAGAAAAATGGACGCCTCGCACGTATTTTCGGCGGCACAATTGGCTCTCGCCGGTCACGCACACCAATTAGGCAAAAAACAATGACAGTCGGCAAACGTCTCTCGAGTGAGCGAGATAGCGCGAATTGCGTTCAGCAGTTGTTATTGTCATTATTAATTTTATGCGCCTGTATGTAACGCCGGAAGTGTTCACGGTGGGGATAGAGCTTCTTTTACTTTGGGTCCTCACGCGCCAACTCGTGAGTTGACTTCCGTACGTAAATTATTACGTCTAAATTGAAAATTCGCGCGTACCAAAAATACGAGAAAAATTTGCAATATTTGAACTGCGCATGCGTCACGAGTGCGTCATAGCTCACGCGCCAACTCGTGGGACATACGTACGTAAATTATTACGTCTAAATTGAAGATTCACGCGTACCAAGAATACGAGAAAAATTTGCAATATTTGAATTGCGAGTGCGTCGCAAGTGCGTCGCGCGCCAACTCGTGGGTTGACATCTATATATTGTACAGATGATTGTTGAAACGGTCATGTTTTCTCTAATAGAAAGTTTGCTCCATTCGCGAAAGAGTATTTATGGTTGTCGAAATAACGAACGTTGATTTATCTCATGTGTATTGCCTACAGTTGTGCCTCGCGATGTCGACCCGGTTGTTACATGTGATGTTAATGTATGTAACACGTATTTGTTTCGCGAATATGCATCGGCGACCAAACGCAGCAATGTCTGAAGTCACGCTCAACATCGATTTCTTTTATCGAAGGAATTTTTTCAGTTTGATGCACTTTCGAAGTTACCATTTGCGATCGTGCGGGGAAGATTGGATAAGTTGAAGTGGTATTTGGGTTTTCAAAGTTTCTTGGTTCTATATTGGGAAATTTTGAAATAAGGTAATTTTTGAATTTTGAAATTTTCAATTGTCCAGTTTTTCAAGGGTTTTAAATTCTGTATCTAGTATTTATTATTTTTGAATTTTCCAATTATTAATTTCCCAGTTTTTAGATTTTCTCATTTTTAATGTTCCAATTTCCCAAATTTCTAAATAGAATTTACACTATTCATTAATTGTCAAATTTTTCAATTTCCAACTCCTGAATATTACAGTGGTTCACATTCCAAGCTTCCGAAATTTTCCAAATTTCTTCCATTTCCTGAATTTCCCAAATTCCTCAATTTTCCCAATTTCCCAAACTACACTCATCCAAAAAAAACTCCATCGCAAATGGTTCAGCTGATTATTGCATGTCATTTTGATAATTTTATACTTAACGATGAAACCATAAGTCGCAGAAAACCCGAACTTCGAGCACTCTAACCTATAAAAATCGTGTTCAAGTTCGCTCAAGAACACAAAGCACTAACACAAAGTTCTGAAAAACGAACCGAAGAAGAAAAGAAAGTTTTACTAAATAAAAAAAAGAATAAAGAATTGAAAGATTCATCGTTAAACGCGATTTGTTGTCCTCGATGCTTGTATGAAAAGTTGATGTGCATGAGTAATCGCTCGTGGGTTCGAATTGAAACAAGAGTGACACGTGTCTTCCTTGAACGAGATACAATAACTAGAATTTAGTCCCCGAGAATGATGTAATTAGATGATGCTTATTAATTTCTATACATTTTACTTCCATATATTTTATAGCGTTGTTCACTCGAGAATGTGAGAGGGGATGCCTGTGTATGAGAATCACAATGAGACGATTTTAAATGCGCCATCGTTTTATGAGCCACGTGCAATTGGGGATGTCAGTTCAGTTACTAATAAACGAACGATCGTTGTATTTTTTCGTTTGGGTTCAAGAAGGTTTGCTCAAATTTGCTATAATTATTCGGAGCAAGGATGTCTCCGTTAAATATGGTACAAATGTTGGACAGTTTTGTATCTTCAGAACTGTATGTCGTAATTTTAATTTTTGAGATACGTTTGAGGGAGTTTGAGTTAAGTTTAAAATAGTTTGAGTCAGGTTTGTGATGCTTGGTATAGGATTGAGTCCTACACCACTGATCTGAGTTAAATTTGAGGTGGTTTGAGATGGATTTGTGCTAATTTAGGTTATGCTCACACTAGTTTCATGTTGAGCTATATTGACTTAGGCTTGAGCACGTTTGAGATAGGACTAAATGAGTTTCAGCTTGATATGTACTAGCATAAGTCAAGTTCGTTGCAGATCACGTTCAAACTAGTTCAGTACGTAGATCTATATCATTATAGGTTAATATTACTTTCAGTTTGGTTTGAGCAAGTTTGAGAAGGAATTAAGTCAGTTTGAGTGAGATATGTAACAGTTTGTGACAAGTTTGTACCACGTTGAGTTACACTTGTGCAAGCCTAGTGTGAGTTTATATTAGTTTGATTTAGTTTTGAGCAAGTTTGAGAAGGAATTAAGTCAGTTTGAGTTAGATATGTAACAGTTTGAGGCAAGTTTGTACCACGTTAAGTTACACTTGTACAAGCTTAGTGTGAGTTTATATTAGTTTGATTTAGTTTTGAGCAAGTTTGAGAAGGAATTAAGTCAGTTTGAGTTAGATATGTAACAGTTTGAGACAAGTTTGTACCACGTTAAGTTACACTTGTACAAGCTTAGTGTAAGTTTATATTAGTTTGATTTAGTTTTGAGCAAGTTTGAGAAGGAATTAAGTTAATTTCAGTGAGATATGTAACAGTTTGAGACAAGTTTGAGCACGTTAGGCCACTTTTCTCCTAGCTTAGAGTAACTTTATATTAGCTTGAATTAGGTTTGAGCAAGTTTGAAAAAGTATTAAGACAGTTTGAGCTGGATATGCACTAGTTTGAGTCAAGTTTGTGTCACTTTAGGTTACATTTCTACTACCTTAGTGTTGGTTCATATTAGTTTGAATTAAGTTTGAGCAAGTTTGAGTAAGATTGAGACAGAGTTCGATTAATTTGAGTTCAATATGTACTAGTATAAATTAAGTTTGGTATGTTTATAAGTTAGGTTACGTTTCCACTAGCTCAATATAGGTTTATATTAATTTAAGTAGGTTTGATCGAGTTTGAGATAGAATTAGATTAATTTAAGTTAGATAAGTGCTGGTTTGAGTGAGATTTGTGCCAACTGAAGTTACATTTCTGCTAATTTAATAGGTTTGCATTAGTTTGAGTTAAGCTTGAGTAAGTTTGAGGTGGTATTTTATTAGTTTGAGTAGTACTTTTGTTAGTTTGGGTTAGACTTGTGCCAACTTAAGTGATATTTCTCCTAATTTGATAGGTTTGCACTAGTTTGAGTTAAGCTTGAGTAACTTTGAGGCAGTACTATGTTACTTTGAATAGTACTTCTGTTAGTTTGAGTTAGACTTGTGTCAATTTAAGTGACTTTTTTCCTAATTTGATAAGTTTTCATTAGTTTGAGTTAAACTTGAGTAAGTTTGAGGTACTATTGTATTAATTTGAGTAGTACTTTTGTTAGTTTGACTTAGGCTTGTGCCACCTTAAGTAACATTTCTCTTAATTTGATAGGCTTGCACTAGTTTGAGTTAAGCTTGAGTAACTTTGAGGCAGTACTATGTTACTTTG